TGAGATAGAGAGGAAGAGATATTTAGAAAGATGAATTCACAGAATTTAGTGACACTCTTATTACACTTTGGGAGTTGGGGAGAAGGGCACAGATGATAGTGCCATTCCTGAAGTCAAGGAGTGTAGGGGGAGAAATTTTGAAGAGGAAGCTGATGAATTATTTTTAAATTATTAATTTTTAAATCACATAAGATACTAGGGTGTATTGCTTTTGTGATAAAACACAAAAGTGAAACATAGAGATGAGGCTGATGTCCCCATTGGCCACCAGACTCAGTCCCAGTCCTTTCCTCAGAGGTCACTATTGCTACCAGCTTGGTGTGTGTCCTTTCAGGCCTTATCCTGTGCATTTCCATACATACCCAAGGAAAATGAATAGTATCAACTTTTTGATATCTAACTTACACATCTCATACTCTATATATCAGTTGATTTTTTTTCCTTATACAACTGCTATTTTAGAAGTTTTGCTAAGTCAGTGCATATGAAGTTACTTCATTCTTTTTGACTACTACATAGTATTCCAGAATATAGACTCACCAAATGTGCCCATTGATGGATATTTAGTTTTGTCCTAGATTTCCTATTCTAACAAATGCTGCAATGAATATACTTTTACATATATCTTTGTAAGTTAGCATGTTTTTTCCCCCTCTGAGTAGTTCCTGAATTACTGGGTCCTAACATGTATACTCTTATTTTGAGAGCTATTGACAAACTGACTTCCATGTGGCTGTTCTGACTGTACAGTGTACAAGAATGTTCTTTATACTGCACTCTCATCAACACTTGACATGATCAAGATTTTTTTCCTGAGTGAAAACTGATAGATCATTACTTTAATTTGTGCTTCTCTAATCATCAGTGAGGGAAGGCATGGTTTCCTTGCCATTTGTGTGTCTTCTACGAATCACCTGTTTTTATCTTTTCCCCATTAGTCTGTTGGGCTGTATTTTCCTTACGAATTTGTAGGATTTAAAAAAAATTTTATATCTTAATCCTTCATCGGTTTTATGTCACCAATATCTAGTTTCTTCTTTGTCTTTAAGTTTGTTTATGATGTGTTATTAATTCTAATGGAGGAAAATTTATCCATCTTTTCCTTTATGGCTCATATTTGTTAGGACTTGTTTAAGAAAATCCTTGCTGACTCCTCTTGTCATAGGCTTATTAACTCTGTGTTTCATTCTATCATTTTGATTTTTTAAGGTTTGAAATTGAGGTGTCAGTGGGGAATTTGAGTAGAATTATCTAAATGGCAGGTGATTGTTTCAGAATGGAGTGGAAGTCAAAACCTATACTCGAGAGAGAGATTCGGGGCTTCTCAGAATGGAGGAGATGGGTGAAACCATCTGGACACATAAGACTGTCCAGAGAAAGCATGTAAATCTAAAGAGAAGTGGGCCAGGGACACAGATCTGAGAAACACCAGTATTAACAGAACTGGTTGAACAAAGGGATATACAGGAGATGTAAAATGAACAGCCTGAGAGGTAGGAGGAAAACTAGAGAATGATGGATAAAAGGAACCAAGAAAGGCAAGCTTTAACAAGACTGCAATAGCCATTGGTGTCAATTAAGATTTCCATCAACCTAGAGTGTAACAGTTACTTATTTGTCTGTTGTTTTCAAGGAGATAATAACTTAACAGAGCAGGTACCAGGTTTTATTCATATTATATTAGTAGAACTGAATATGGTGCCTGCCCATAGTGGCATTCATTCAGCCAACATATATTAATCTATAAATCTATAATCTACTCATAAAAATATAAAGGCTTGTTGAGTGAATAACTTTTGAAATCTTCCTCTTTCCTTGAATTTCTTTGTCAAAGCAAATCTTACAACTGACTAAGAATCTTGAGAAGGTGCTGCAACCTTTTCGCTCACACTAGATAACTAATGATGGAGAACTAGCTTCCAGCTCTCCTTCCTTTGGTCCTGGCCTCTAACAGATCAAGGTGGCATCTGTGAGTGTACAACTTGAGAAGAAATGTGATGTTTGACCTATACCACTGTGCCAATTTGAGAGGAATTTGGAGTGTGTCTGCAAATGCCAACCTCTCTTTAATGTGCCCTGTAACTACGCTGGAGGCTTTATATTGGCCATGTTCTGACAGTTATTTCATGGATTTTTGAAGCACCTTTCCTTGAACTGTCAATCTGTAAATTCTCTGGAAAACCAGTCCATGGGGTAAAGGAATGGAATTATTCATAAGATAGTTTCTACCTCAGCTTGTGGTGAAATTACTCACTCAGGGTATAATTAAGTCATAGACGTACTGGCCTGAATGTGGATAAAGATGGAAAGGAAATAATTCCTGTTCCAATGTGGGTGCTTTCTGATGATTGACAAGCATCTGGTGTGTTGATCCATGAACTGAGGAGAAGTTAGAGTCCCCTATAAAGGAGACAGATAGATATTTTTTTTCAGGCTAATAGGAGAATAACTGACTGGAGAGGGAAGGAATAGGCAGACTTGAAAAAGCATAAGGTCGTAAACCAGATGACAACAGTGAACTCTGATAGGTAAGGGCTAAGTAACTAAGTTGAAGCCTGAGGGAGGTGAAAGCAGCAGAAAGAGAGGTCAGGTGATAGGATTCTAGACTGAGCAGGCACAGGGCATGCACGTGCTGAGAGGGGCCCGGACAGGCCCCGCCACCAGCAGGTCAACCTCCCCACCACATACAGAGGGCTTGAAGGCCCTTAGTGTGCCCCTGCTGTTCTCCAGAGGTGGCATGTGGACGTGGCCTGGTGAGTTTACATCCAAGCTAACAAAAGACAAACACTCAGATGTTGCAGACAAATTAAAATTTATTGAGACAGACAGAAAGGTACCTACTCAGGACTACAGTTAAGCATTTACTATTAACCAAAGAGTCTTGTTCACATTCCAGAGAATTCTACGTGGAAAAGCATTCAGAATTTACTAGGTTTTTCTACTTCACTATTTTGTCTACAATAGACAACAAACTGACACTCAGGATTTGGTGGGCTCTCATTACAATGCTACACACTGAACAGGGACAAACATCAGTGACTTTGAGAAAAAGGTATAAAAAGACCAAAACCACCCACTGTAGAAAGGACTCTTGGATGTTACTGTACAGTGTGGTCAAGGTAAAAAGCCAGTGTGAATGCATCCTGGGAAGAGCAGAGGGGCAGACCTGGACAGACACGTCATCACTCACTGCTGGGCGTGGGAAAATGGGCATAAAGAAGGGGAAACTGATACGAAACCTCAAATTCAGTATTAAGGTAGTCCCATGCCTAGAATATTTGTGGGAACAAAAGCCATTAATATGGCAGACAACTAACCATGGTGGAAGAAAATTCTGGGATGTAAGTTGGATGCCAAGGAAATGGTATTAAATAAAAGAACTGTTTATGGAATTCCCCAAGGAGTTTCCAAAAATGAGTAGTGAGGATTCAATTCAATACCTGTCTCAAACAAGGGAATAGATTATCACAGTATTATTTTTTTTTAATCAAGATTTTTATGTTTACTCAGTCACTGGCTAAAGGACTCCTGCCAAAAAAGAGGAAAACAAAAATTCTCCTCCTAAGGATAAGATAACTAAAAAAATCCAATCTTTAGTACTTGTGAAAAGTACTAAAGACCTTTAAAAACTCTAATGCTGTCATGCCAAAGTGAGGCATGAAAAGTGGCATTAATGTTGTACCATTGATTTTTGGGTTCCAGTCTGGGGATGGCTTTTTATTTAATATTTTAATGAATTAAAATATCTTCTTGGAATCTCTCTGAAAACGAGCATCTCATTACCTTACTGGGAATTGACTATTGAGCACTCTTCTCCATCATTAAGTTAATGCTAAGGATCTTTAAGTGTCATCTTAATTTGACACTTGTCATAAGATAATTAGGCAAATTAAAATCAGTGGTTCACTCTGTTCCTAGAAGTTTCTCTAAGTGAAATCAATCTGTCGATTTTAATTTGTTCTCTTGTGCATTCTTCCAAGCTCAGAGGAGATAGTAACAATGGTTTTCTTTGATGGTCTAAACTGAGATTTTTTAATGTCTTGATTCTTTCTTTTATACATTCTATTGTAATTTAGCTTCAATTAAGCATCTGTTTTCTAAATTATGATCTCAGAGTTTTGTTCAAGTGAGAAAAAAAATATCAAAACTGAGGTGATGGAATTGAGATCCCAATACAGAGCTTGCCCATGGTCTCCCTATACCTAGGGTCTCGGTTGTCCTTGTGTCTCGGGCCAAAGGTGTTCACTATATCAAGTATGTTCATTTCCCATCTGAGACTAACTCTAGGGATAATGAGACTTTATCTGGCCAATGCAAGGATTGGAGAATGCTAGTTTGAAGCAGGCTGGTAAAGTACAAATCACTGGTCAATTTGGGGTGGGGGCTTGGTCAGCTGCCACTATAATCATGGTTTGACTGAATATATTTTTTGCCCGAGTTTATGTGGTCTTGTGGACTGGCTGGAGCTCACGGAGAAGGGAATAAAAACAAACGTGGGCCAGCAAGCCTTTCCAGGTGGCTGATTAGGATCCAGGTCAGTGGAAACCAGGTAGGGCAGGAGCTTAAGGGCTGGTAGTGAACTAAATGGGGCTCCTTTGAAGACTACTCTTTGGTACTTGTATCTGGGCCAGCTTGACAGGGAGAGACAGCCTAAAACTATAAGATGCCAACCCTACCAAATTTGGAGATAGACTCTAATAATGAGCTTATTAAAGGAAAAGAAACGCAATGGTGAAGGGCTTTCATTAGTATCTCAACACTGGGGCGGGTGAGGGGGTGGGGGCAGGACTTGCTCTGAAAAATCTAACCCTAGCTTCCATGTGCTACTTATAAAGTTCTTTCTAGGTCTTCATCTAGGATTCTTTACAAATGATGAATGATATAAAATCCATACAGCTTTTATACTCTCATCATGATTTGTGGTTAGAAAGGGGGCAAAAGCAAAACATTGAGTTTAGAATCCTGAATTTTCTTCTGCTAAGGAACACCGTGGTACTGTCTTCTCAGAGAGCAGGGGGTGTGCGAACATGCCTTAGAAAAAGCCCTTGAGTAGGTAGGGAAGGGAGGAAACTGCGGCAGACAGAACCGCTGCAGACTGAGGGGGGCTTTGAGCTGAAATGAAAGAGATGGCTTGTGAAGCTGCCCACGTGGGAGTTGCATGGCTTCTGTGAGAAAAGCAATTTAGGCAGAGAGAGGCTTATTCAAATCAAAGAGGCTTCCAGTAACTCTGCTGATGCACAGAGAAGAAACCTCCTCAGCCTACAGGCTACAAGTGCCAACTGTTAGTGCAAGAAAGGACTTCGATACAAATTTCCTATTCCAGAAATTGTGATCCAGGTCTGGACAAGCTGCCAAATTTGTAATTGTTTTCCAAATGAGTTTTTAATAGATACCTACTTTTTCTGAGAGGTGTGTGTACTTGTGTGTGTGCAAGGCATATACACACACAGTCTCTTCTGCACATACATATTTATGCAAGTACAGAGAGAAACATCCAGACACAATATTTTTAATAAAGAAAATCAATTCCCCAAAGGGGTGCTTGACTGAATTAAGGCTGCTGTTTGTAGGAAGCCAGATATAGTGATGTGAAAAACTAACTTTTAATAATAAACACCAGGGGTGCTGGGGGCAGGGGAGAAAAGGTACAGCGTGGTGTGTTTTCCACAACATCTACAGGACACAAGAAAAGCACTTAGACACTGTAAGGCTGGGAACCATGCTGTAATAACCACCTTGTGGGTGATCAAAAGGGCCTTAGACATTTAGAGGGCGGGGGCTCCCTGCGCTGTCAGAATCCCACATAAATCACATGCTCATTGCAAAAACCTCTTAGGAGAGAAGGAGGCTCTAATTCAGCCAGCTAGTCCCCTGTCTAAAAAACAAAACAAAACACAACATCCTTCTTCCCACACAACCATATGCAAAATCAGAATGCTCTGGGAACAAAGAGTTGTCTTCCAAACCTTAGGTTGGGTATAGAGAGCAACAATGGAGAAGAGACCTTGGTGCCGTGGAGTCTTAGATACAAATGCGGGAACAGGAAGTGACTTGCAATTTTGTGCAAACCTTGTGTCCTCCTCCTTATGGGGACTACCATATGTACCCGACTTCATCCTCTTTGTCGTCATCCTCATCTTCATCATCCTCCGTCACTGCCCGGGCATGCACCCTCAGCTTCCCCAATCTGTCCTTTGGTCCCAGCTCCCGTTCATCCTCTAGGTCATCGAGCAGGACCACGGAGCCGCCACTGCCAAAATCTCCTGAGGTTTCCTGCTCCTCTTCTGAAACATTAAGAAGGAAAAAAAGATTTGAGGTTAGTTTCTGCTTACTCATGACCCATGTCAGTGTTTCCCTCGCGTATGACTTAACTGTGGGGCAAAACCATGCACTTTACTTTCTGAAGGTGGGAGCATCCTGCTCTGGGTAGGGTTAGTCTACATGGCATGGACCATAAGCTTTGTTCTGAGATGAAGCCCAGGATTTTTGAGGTGCTTCTGCCTTCTTGGGAGGTTTATAATCCTAAGCAAAAAGTCAAGGCAGCCTAAGTGGCTCTTTGCCTGCAACAGTTCCTGACTGTCAAAAACTGTTGTCCAGCCCACTGGTCATGGTGAGGTCCTGCCACTCGAAAACCTAGCTAATCTCCTCCGATTTCAGGGTTACTCTGTCTCCATTGTAAACTCACTCACTGTAGACCACAGCCACCTCTTGAAATTCCTCTGCTCAGATCCTAATATAGCGAAGACCTCCAGGTTAACAGAGGTCACTGTGGGGCTGGTGCAGAAGGCCTTACTCACCGCAGCTCACAGCGCCCTGTTTCCTGGAGCCGGCCAGCTCGTTCCCATATTTATCCACACACCAGCACTGCCCCGTGCTACCGTGGCACTGCGTGGCTTTGTAATAGCCCTCCTCATTACACCGGGGTATGAATGCTCCTGGGGGAATCAGAGAAGTCCAGAGATACTCAGGGTTAATGCCTTCCAAGACAGAGAATAGGGTTCACACATCAGACAGGCTGTTTGCTGCAGGGCTACAGGAGAGAAAGGGTTGGTTGGTTATTACTTAGTCAAGATTACGGGACCCTGGGACTTGCTCAAAGTTAGACAGGATTCCTTCTATTCTTTCTTTGATGAGTTCTTATTTTTCCCTTTAAATCATGAATGGGTAATAACTTCATTTTTTCCAGTTTTATTGAGTATAATTGACATACAACTCTGCATAAGTTTAAGCTGTACAGCATAATGCTTTGACTGACTTACATATATCGTGAAATGATTACCACAATAAGTTTAGTTAACATCCATCATTTCATATAGATACAAAAAAAACTTTTTTTCCTTGTGATGAGAAGTCCTAGGATTTACTCTCTTAATAACTTAGATATACACCATACAGCAGTGTTAATCTAGTCATCATGTTGTACATTACATCCCTGGTCCTTATTTATCTTATAACTGGAAGTGTGCACCTTTTGACCGCCTTCCTCCAATCCCCTCTTCCCCACCTATGGTAACCACAAATTTGATCTCTTTTTCTATGAACTTGTTTTTTTTTTTTTTTTTTCCTTTTTTTGGGTTCCACATTTAAGTGAGATCATACAGTATTTTGTCTTTCGCTGTCTGACTTATTTCACTTAGCATAATGCCCTCAAGGTCCATCAATGTTGTTGTAATTGGCAGGATTTCCTTTTTATAGCTGAATAATATTCCATTATATATGTTTATCAACTTTATCCATTCCTCTGTCACTGGAGACTTATGTTGTTCCCATGTCTTGGCTATTGTAAATAATGCTGCTTTGAACATGGGGGTGCAGATATCTCTTCAACATAGTGTTTTTGTTTCCGTTGGATATATTCCCAGACGTGGAATTGCTAGATCATATGGTAGTTTGGTTTTTAATTTCTTGAGGAACCTCCCTACTGTTTTCCATAGTGGCTGTACCAGTTTACAATCCCACCAACAATGCACAAGTGATTTCTTTTCTCCACATCATCACTAGCCTTTATTATCTCTTGTCTTTTTGATGACAGCCATTCTAATAGGCATGAGGTGACCTCATTGTGGTTTTGATTTGCATTTCCCCAGTGATTAGTTATGTTGAGCTCCTTTTCATGACCCTATTAGCCATCTGTATGTCTTTTGTGGAAAAATGTCTGTTCAGGTCCTTTGCCCATTTTTAAATTGGATTATTTGGGGTTTTTTTGCTATTGAGTTGTATGAGTTCTTTATATAGTCCAGATTTATTATATTATTACATGCTGTCAAGTTGGCTTTGACTCCTGGTGACCCTGTGAATAAGTGATGTCCACAATGTTCTTCTCAACAGCCCTATTCAGCTCCTATAGCCTCATACCTATGGCTTTTATGGCTTCTTTTATCCATCTCATATTTGCTTTTCCTCTTTTCCTGCTGCCTTCTACTTGTCTTTTCCAAAGAATCTTGCCTTTTTATGAGGTGCCCAAAGTAAGACAGCTTCAGTTATCATTTTTGCCTCCAGTGTTAGTTCAGGCTTAATTTGCTCTAGAATATTTTGGATATTAACCCCTTATCAGATATAGGATTTGCAAATATTCTTCCCCATCCCATAGGTTCTCTTTTCACTTTGTTGATTGTTTCTTTTGCTGTGCTGCTAAGTTTGATGCAGCCTCACTTGTTTAGTTTTGATTTGTTGCTTGTGCTTTAGGCATCATATCCAAAAAATCATTGCCAAGCCCCATGTCAAGGAGGTTTTTCCTGTTTTCTCCTAGGAGTTTTATGGTTTCCAGTCTTACATTTAAGTCTTTAATCCACTTAGAGTTAATTTTTGTGAGTGGTCTAAGATAGGGGTCTTGTTTTATTCTTTTACATGTGAATATACAGTTTTCCCAGTACCATTTATTGAAGAGACTCTCTTTCTCCATGGAGTCTCCTTGGCTCCCTTGTCAAATAATAGTTGACCATATATGCATAGGTTTATTTCTGGGCTCTTGATTCTGTTCCATTGGTCTCTGTGGCTGTTTTTATGCCAGTGCCATACCATTTTGATTACTATAGCTTTATAATATAGCTTGAAATCAGGAAGTGTGATGCCTCCTGCTTTGTTCTTTCTTCCCAGGATTGCTTTGGCTATTCAGAGTCTTTTGTGGTTCCATATGAATTTTAGGATTGTTTTTTCTACTTCTGTAAAGAATGCCATTGGAATTTTGATAGGGATTGCATTGAATCTATAGATGGCTTTGGGTAGTATGGACATTTTAACAACATAATTCTCCTAATCCATGAACACAAGACACCTTTCCATCTATTTGTCTCTTCTTTGATTTCTTTCATTAATTCTTATAATTTTCAGTGTAGAGATCTTTCACATTCTTGGTTAAATTTATTCCTAAGTATTTTATTGTTTTTGATGCTATTGTAAATGAGGCTTTCGTTCTTTTTTTTCAGATAATTCATTGTTAGTGTATAGAAATGCTACTGATTTTTGTATGTTAACTTTGTAACATGCAACTTCACTGAATTCATTGATTAGATCTAACAATTTTTGGGTGGAGTTTTTAGGATTTTCTGTATATAAAATCATGTCATCTGTAAACAGAGACAATTTTACTTCTTCCTTTCCAGTTCTGATGCCTTTTATTTCTTTTTCTTGCCTGATTGCTCTGGTAGGGACTTCTAGTACTATGTTGAATAGAAGTGGTGAGAGTGGGTTTCCTTGTATTGTTCCTGATATTAGAGGAAAAGCTTTCAACCTTTCACCACTGAGTATGATGTCAGCTGTGGGCTTGTCATATATGGCCTTTATTATGTTGAGGCATGTTCCTTCCATACCTAATTCGTTGGGAGTTTTTATCATGAACTGATGTTGAATTTTGTCAAATGGTTTTTCTGTGTCTATGAGACGACCATATGATTTTTACCCTTCATTTTGTTAATGTAATGTATCACATTGGTTTATTTGCATATGTTGAACCATACTTACCTCCCAGGGATAAATCCCACTTGATCATAGTGAATGGTTCTTTTAATGTGCTGCTGAATTCATTTTGCTAGTATTTTATTGAGAGTTTTTGCATCTATATTCATCAAGGATATTGCCCTGTAGTTTAGTTTTCTTTTATCTTTCTGGCTTTGGTAACAGGTTAATGCTGGTCTCATAAAATGAGTTTGGAAGTGGTCTTTCTTCTTTGATGTTTTGGAAGAGTTTGAGAAGGATTGGTGTTAAATTTTCTTTAAATGTTTGGCAAAGTTCACCAGTGAAGCCATCTGGTATCTGGTCCTGGGCTTTCTTTCACTGAGAGATTTTTGATTACTGATTCAATCTCCTTATTAGTAATTGGTCTGTTCAGATTTGCTATTTCTTCTGACTCAAGAACATTTTTTTTTTTTTGTGAGGAAGAGCAGCCCTGAGCTAACATCCATGCCAATCCTCCTCTTTTTGCTGAGGAAGACTGGCCCTGAGCTAACATCTATTGCTAATCCTCCTCCTTTTTTCCCCCTTTTTCTCCCCAAAGCCCCAGTAGATAGTTGTACGTCATAGCTGCACATCCTTCTAGTTGCTGTATGTGGGATGCGGCCTCAGCATGGCCAGAGAAGCGGTGCGTCGGTGTGCACCCGAGATCCGAACCCAGGCCGCCAGTAGCAGAGTGCGAGCACTTAACCGCTAAGTGACAGGGCCGGCCCCTCGATAACATTTTTAACACTTGAAAAAATCATATGATTTTTTACCCTTTATGTACTATTTTTTCTATCCTTGATATACTTTAATGAGATGAATTACTGGTGGCACAGTTAAATATATATTTGATTTCCTGGAATAAATATTACTGATTCAATTTGCTAATCCTTTTGCATCTATGTTACTAAGTGATAGAGGCATATACTTTTGTTTCTTCAATTTCTGTATCAAAGCAACTACTTCATAAAAATGATTCAGGTATTTTTCTATACTCTAGACATTTTATATAAAATGAGAATGATCTCTCCCTTGAAGGATTCACCCATAAAAATATTTTGGGCCTGGTGCCTATTTTGGGGGATGAAAGTAGCATTTTGAGTTTGATTTAAATTAACTTCATGGTTTTTTATCTAGTTGGGTCTTCTGGTTCTTTGTGGCCCAAATGTGGTAACTCATAGTATCCATTTCAATAATTGTTACCAATTGGTTTATAGCAGTGGTTCTCAAAGTGTGGTCCCAGGACCAGCATCTGCAGCATCACCTGGAAATATCTTAGAAAAGCAAATTCTTGGGCCTGACCCTAGACCTATTGAATCAGAAACTTTGAGAGGGGAGCCCAGCAGACTGTGCTTTAAAAAACCTTCCAGGTGATTCTGATATACACTGAAGTTTCACAAACACAAGTTTACCATATTCTATATCTAAGGTTACATCCCACTCTTAAATTCATGACAGTATTTGAGCCTTTCATATTGCCAAAGTTTTGTCTATTTCATTGTTTTCTGCTTTAGTCTTAATCATTTCAGTTTATGGTGGTGGTCTTATAGCTTTTTGATTTGAAAATTTAATTTAGTTTTGATTTTTTTTCATAAATGCATTTGAAGCTGTGAATGTTCTTCTAAGTTTCACTTTTATTGCTTTCCTCTAACTTTGGTACACAGTGCTTTCATTATCATTCAGTCCTAAATGTTTTGTAGTTTTTACTTTATTTCATCTTTGACTATTTATAAAAGCCCCCAAACATACAGGATTTTGGTAATCTCATTTTTGACTTCTACTTTCGTTGTGTTGTAGCGAGTAAATCTGATCTGTGAAAATTGTTTGAGATTTGTTTAGTTTTCTTCTGTGGCGTAATCCATGGCAAATATTTATGTTTTTGAAAAGTCTATAGATTCTATGCTTATTTACAGGAATACATATATATGAATGCTAAAAGATCATTTTATTCAATTCTTCCATACATTTTTTGTCTACTTGAACTGTAAGTTTCATGAAGAGGTATATTAAAGTCTCTGATTATGACAATTCCTCCTTGAAATTCTATTATGTTTTATTTTAAAGTTATGGGTATACCAATTGATGACATAATATTGTAAACAGAACATTTCAGCAAGATGATATTCTGTCTTTGTTTTGATTCAAAACAAAGTATTTGCTTTTGTCAGATTTTACTATCTTTTAATTTCAACTTTCTGTGGAATTGTTTTATGTGTAACTCTCTCTTTAAAAATACCAATTGATAGTCTGTGTCTCATGATAAATGAGTTTGGCCCATTCACATTTATTGTGATTACAGATATGCTTGCTCTTATTTCTACCACCATATTTTGTGTTTCCTATTTCTCATTTCACCCCTTTCATTGAAATGATCAAGTCTCCTTATTCCATGTTTTTCTTCTATAGATTTAAAAACTATACATTCTAATATTCTTGTTGTTACCGTTAAATTTTCCACAGAGAAGCATATTATTTTCCTAAAAAGATGTAAAGTTAATCTACATTTTCATTTCTCCCTGAATAAACTAGAAACTTAACACATTTTTACCACCTTTTTCCCACTTCCCCCAACAGTCTGAAATTTGAATTTTAGCTTGCTATCAAAACATTTTTATAGGTAATATTTAGATTTAGCAGCATGTCTTGTTTATCTTCTGTAGAGTAAATTCTTTAGTGATACATTACTGAGTCTGGTTAGTAAACTTACTGAATCTATGGTTTGAGAATATCTCTGTCATCACACTTGAATGATAACTGGGATAAGTTTAACATTCTAGGTTCAAAGTTATTTCCTCTCAGCACTTTGAAGATATTATTTTCTCTTCTTTAATTGGTGTTGCCAATCTGATTCTCATTCAACTGTGGGTAATCTTTATTTATGACAGTTTTTAGTTTTGGTTTTTCTTAGGGTGTGTTTCATGATTGTGTGCTCATCTTCTATGAGAGAATTCTCTTAAGTGTGACCTGGGTAGTAACACTGCCTACATTAACTGTGTGAAGACAGAGGTCTCTGCTTACTACATAGCTTTCTACTCTCGAATTTTATTTCTGATTTTATTTCATGAATAAACCTCAGAAAGAAGTGTGGCATGGGAGGCAGGTATTTTTACTATTTTGAACCTAGATTTAACCCCAGATTCAGCTGACTCTAGGAACTACTCTTAAACACTCTTCTCACCAGCCTATTCCAAGATGACCAGGCTCTCAGAGATCAAATCAGATCATAGATAGGAAGGAAAAGAAAAAGTAAATGCTCTCAATAACCCAAAGGCAGAGAGGTTTGTGGAGAGGTAGGGAGCTGGGGAAATGCTGCTCTTCTTCCTTGAGCTGCTGTTGGAAAACAATAGCCCTTGATAAACCAAAAAAAAAAAAAAAAGCATATCGGCCTGAGCCCCCAGGTTGGTAAGAAGCAGGTGCTGCTCTAAATCTATAATGTAATAAGATTACCACTTTTCCAAGTAGGCAGTAATTATAACTGATTATAATTTGTTGTTGCTTGTTTTATTTATTTTGAATCTGAATGCCCCTGAATACACATTTATTATGTTAGGAGATTTCCCCATGATAAAAATAATTTGTCAGCAGATAAGTGGCATTTTCATGATTTAGCCAGAGTAATCTCTATATGTGGGGTGTTGTGATAAAGTAAGTTTTAAAACTATGTAGGATTCATGGTAGGACAAAGGTAGGCATTTCATTCATGTGAGCTGGGGAAAATGGAAGATGAAGCAGTCTATTTCAGACCACATACCTTATAAATGTCTCATTATTAATTAATGAAGCAGTAAGAAGATATCCATACCCTTTGAAAGTAAATTTTTTAAAAATAGCGTTATATTAATTCTATAAGTACCTCTGGACCTTAGGCACATCACTCAAACTCAAAATAACCTCCCATGGGGAGGAATCAGATCAGTGAGCACAAGTCCTTGCCCTGGAAAAACCTATGAGAAAACCTATGGAAAAGGAATCCAGCCACTTTGCCTTCAGATCAGAAAGATGCCTTTATGTCTTCTTACATGGGAGAAGAACCTAGGCCCAGACAGGTCAAAGTCACAACTTTGGAGTTCTGAGTTGGGTGTTATCAGCAGTGGAAAGTCTGAGGCAAGCCAGTGAAATAAGAAATTTTCAACAGTAGAAAAAAGAGGCAGTATTCACTATAAGGTGACTCAAAAACCAGAAGAGGAGAACTAACCAGAGTTCACAGACTGCCTGCATTTAACAATCTGCAAAAAACTGGCCCACTTCCTTCAAGTAAATAGATAAACTTCTGAAATGGCAGGCTGCTTAGGGAATGCACTTGCTTCTGACTGCACAAGAAGAAAAATTCTGAATTATTGTGTTGCAGCTGTCAGCTCTCTTTTTAAAAAGCAAGGAAAGCAATGCAGACTCCTTTCTTCATCAAACAAACAAAGTTTAACAACCTCTCAGGGACGGCCTTGTCTGAATGCCATGACTACCCCCTAGTGCTGGAGAAAGGAGGGCATGGAGCTAAAAGCGAATGATTCACCAGGCCAGCATTTGTTACCTTTACCTCGGCCATAGGCTTGCATGCCAGGGAAAACACACTCATAGAACCCATGTGCTTCTGCCTTAACATTTGGACAAAGATAAGACGAGAATGTGCAGTGTCTCAACAGCCTTATGCCTTCTTCCAGGGATTGCTTGCATGTGACAGAGAAATACACTTAAGCACACACTCAAGTCTTTGAATTCTATCTGATAAATTTAGAAGAGGGTACAGCTCATCTTCCTTCTTGAATGGACAACTTGATCTGGGGAATACAGGAAATTCTATAATTTATAGACTTTATAATTTTAGAGTTAGAAGGAACACTTGAGAGCTCCATTCGGTGGCTGTATTTGAAAGAAGAAAAAGCCAAGGTTCACTGGAGCTCAAGGTCAGGGAGGATTTAGACATAGAGATGGTGCTGGATTCTAGTCCCGGGCTGACCTTTGACCTCTCCTTTTGCTGATAGAGCATGCAGCAGTTCTCAACCAGCTAAACGATCCTCGGATTATGTCCAGCTGACTGTGGCATGTTACCAGCTGCCTGGAAGAGCCCTGTCTGGGGTAAAACAAGGCATTTCTTTCACGAAACACTGGGCCCTAATTGAATATCCATTGCTGTGTTCAATATTACAAGAGACATGGATGGTTTAATTAGTTGTTTAAATGAGTGGCAAGAAATTGTACTTACCCAACAGGCTTTTCCCCTTGCTCAGCTTCTGAATCCTGTTCATTTCATTCTGGCAAGGGAGACCTAAAAAATAATTTATGAAAGTCAGTTTCCAGATGGCGTGGGATATAATCTCTAATGATTGGCTTCATTCTTGACGTGAAATGTAGACTATGACACACCTGGGAGTGGAATTACTCCATATGCTATTACTATGCAGCAAAACAAATTCAGGCCATTAGTGTTACTAATTTTAAAAAAACTTTTACCATGAGGTACTTAAAATAGTATTTGGGGGCTACTTTCATTATACAGGAATTTTTCTTCCCATCACCAACTCAAGCAAATACCAGATGTCTAATAGGTGCTTTGCTAATAGACTTTTTCCTTTATATAAGTAAATAATCAGCTAAGATTTCTATGAGCTGAGAACCAGGACCAAAGCTTACTAGTGGGTAAGTGTTCTGAGTCCACAAACCAACTAACCAGAGGAAAGGTGACAAATACTTAACCTACCCCAGGTCTTGCTATATGAGAGAAAAAGGATGTGGAATGGCTCCTTCAGACCTCATGGCTTGCTACCCAGGAAAGAAAAACATGGGCCTCAAGGGATAACAATGAAGATATACAAGAGATGTAGAGAGTGAGACCCTAACTCTCGGCTCTGCTACCTCATAGCTGAGTACTTTGGGCTCTCTCAGCCTCCGAGTCCTCAACTATAAAACATATGTTGTTATGAATGAGCACAAACCTGTCAGTTCTCAAGTGAAGGATTGATACAATGGAGCTACGTGGCGAAGAGGGCATATCAAAGTGTGTGGTATTCTTTTACCTCCCAAGAGAAGAACTTACTTCCATTCCAGCAAAAAGGTGACCTCACTAGTTCTTGAGTTTTACCACGAATTGCCCCTGCAGACCGGTGGCTCTGGGAGGCTCTGCTATTTGCTCCTGGTCCTCCAGGCACAGATAGAGGGTTCTGATTCTCAGGGCACTTATACTACCCCTGTATATGCAAGTGTGGGGCCTGTAGAAAGTACCTGAGCACCTATTTACAACTATTATTCTGTGGATTTCACAATACCACCTGGTCTTGCTGCTTGTTCCTTGAGAGAAACTGGTTGTAAAGTGCATTTTGTTGACTTCTGGGTTTAAGATGCTTTCAGAGTACAGGAGAAAGATACCAACCAACTAAAAATGAGAAATAAATTCCATCTTCAATGATTAAAGGTAGCATTTACTATAACAAATAATAAACCTTTATTGAATTCTTAGAATGTACCAGACAATGTTCTAGAATTTTACATCTTAATTACCACCATATAAAGTAGGTACCAATATTATTCCTATTTTGCAACTGGAAATGCTCATCTTTGTAACTATGCAGAAATATAGAGAAGAAACTGTAGGCATTTAGAAGACTGCTCCTGAAGAGAAGGAAAATCACAATCATTTATATAAACACTGTCAGACGGTTTACTATGAAACAAGTTGCTAATTGTGAGAACCTTCCCGCCCCCAAATTGTCCTACAGTCATTTTAAAAACTCTACTTATTGGAAAATAAGGAAAAATGAATCAGACTGAGACGTACTAAAAATTGCTGCAAGAAAAAATTGCCGAAGAAAGAACAAGACAAAACGCCAGATGTAGAAATAAAGAAATAGGGGCTGGCCTGGTGGCGTAGCAGTTAAATTCACATGCTCCATTCCAGCGGCCCAGGTTCACGAGTTTGGATCCCGGGTGTGGACCAACACACTGCCTGTCAAGCCATGCTGTAGTGGTGTCGCATATAAAGTAGAGGAAGATGGGCACGGATGTTAGGCTAGGGCCAATCTTTCTCAGGCAAAAAAAAAAAAAAGAGGATGGGCAACAGATGTTAGCTCAGGGCTAATTTTCCTCAAAAAAAAAAAAAAACGAAAGAAATGAAGGCTGTAGCTGAAGCAACAAAACTGATGTGAGACATCCGTGTTACTGATGCTCCTGAGAAGAGACTAATCAAATAGAACAAAAAAAAAAAATTTAATTCTAGAGCTCAAAAGAGCATAACATATATCAGGAAACAGTGATACAGACTGAGCAAAACTAAGACATGTCCTAGGAAATTCATGTCCTTAAAAGACTCCTTTTGGCTTCCAGGCAAAATATTTACATCACCAATAAAATGGAAAAAAAATTATTAGTATGGGTTCACATTATTCTATAGCTACACCCAGTGCTGAGAATAATGTATAAAAAGGATAAAGAAAAAAACCTGTGACTCCAGGAAGTTTATACTTATTGTCTTTGTTCTAGAATAAAGAAAATAGAAATATTTTCAAATATTCAAGGACTAATTCAAAGAACGGAATTCCCATGAGAATTTTTGAAAAAAGTTCTAAAACTCAAACTTGGCAATAAAAGTGGAGAATAATGTCAAAAGCAGTCAACAGATAATCCTACCACATGAAAAGTTTACAAGTGCTCTCTCAAAATTTTCTTGGGCCAAAAAGGCACTCAGAGCCTTAATCATAGAATATCTACAAATTAACTATAATAAAAATACCAGATATTGATACCTATGGTCTACAGCTAAAGGAGTGCTTTGGAGAAAAATTTTAGCCTCAAGTACATACCTTAATAAACAGGAAATAATAATGAAATGTGAAAGTAAAATAGAAATCCCAGAACTGATTCTGGGTCAGGGAGGGAGCTGGTGGGAACTTAACAAAGAAAGAAACTAACACAAAATGAGAAACAAATGAAAAAAGAACTACAACAAATTTCTTTGCTCAACTCCTCCTGGAGGCCATGCTGTGTCATAGGTGGGGGTCCTGGCTTCCTTCAGCAGTTGCTGAAAGGGCAGCCTATCCAGAGACACCACATGGGCCAGGTGACCAGCTCTGTCTCTTGGTTAAGGCAGTAACCTCACTCTCGGGGCCCTGACACTACACCTCCAGTGGAAGCAGTCAGCATTAGCACTGAGGCTTTCCTTCACTCAGGTTAAACCTGAACCCTGGCTCAAGTCACATGATTTTATATGAACTCAAGCCAAATGCTACCATTAAGCTTAATGCTGAACCATCCCAAGCATATCGATTTGGAGGTACTAGCTGATGTGATTAGAGGAGAGAAAGAAATGAGGTATAAAAATTGAAAAGGAAAAAATTATCACTATTTGCAGATGATATGATTGCACACCTGGAAAATCCAAGGAAACCAACCAGAATAACGATTAGAAACAAAATGAGAATTTAGTAAGGTGGCTGGGAATAAAATTAATATTGAAACAACCACCAGTGTGGAAATATAATGGGAAAAAATTGATTTCATTTACAATGACAACAACAATAAACACGAGGGAAGTATAATGTCTGTGGGAACCAAACTTGTAAGTCAGACAGATCCTGTTATCAGGTTAACAGACAGATCCTGTTCTAGGATAAAAGGATTCAATATTACATAGCAGTCAGTTCTCTCTAGATTAATCTAATTTTGCCTGATTCTAAAAAAATACCAACAAGAATTTTTTTAATTCAATAAACTGATTCTAAAGTTAAAGGAGTTAAAACATATAAGAATATTACTGAAAAAAGATTAATGGCAGGAGATGGTGGCCCCACTGGATATTAAAACATATGGTAAAACAACTGTGATTTAAACAGTTTACAACTGGTTTATGGATAGTTCAATAATAGAACAGAGTACCAGGAATAGACAGATACACACATAGCATATAGGAATTTCATATATAATAGAGAAAGCTGGGTTAGTCAATAAATTGCAGAAAGGCAACCAGACAACCATCTCCAGGAGTGGGGATAGGGGCTGGGACCCTACCTGACCATACACCAAAGAAATCTAAAGTGATACAAGATTTAAATAAACAAACCAACCTAAAGGGTACTGAACAGAGATTTGCTTTACTATCTTGCAGTGGGAAATACCTTTCTAAGCCTAATGTAAGTTTTATGGCTTCTCAGAAGCCATAAAATAAAAGATGTAGAAATTTGACTATCTTAAAATGTAAATTTTCTCCCTAGCAAAAATGCACCAAGTTGGGAAAAAAATATTTGCAATACATATGACTAGAACAGTTCTAATGTCCTTAGTATAGAGAGAGTTCCTACTAAAAACAAACAAACACAAGAACCTAATAGGGAAAAAATGTACAAAAAACATAGACATTTCAAGGAACAGGAAACTCAAGAGTATCTCAAACACAAAGATGCTCAACTTAAGTCATAATTAGAGAAATGAAACCTATAAGAAAATACAATTTCTTTGGCAGTGATCACAAAATTTGTGGCAACACCTGGAGAATTAGATATTCTTGGATATTTGTGGTGAGAGTAAAAATTGGTACAACCTCTTTGGAGGGAAAATTGGAAATATTGCTCAAATTTAAAAATGCACATGCCCTTTTGACCTGTAATTCTGCTTTTGGGGCTGTATCTTATAATCCTATAAACACGCACATACTTTTCCCTGAGTGCCCTTGTGTAATGCCACTATTCTCTGCTCTGTGTATTGGGTCTGTACCCATACACACACACGTAATCTAAATACTTTAATATCAGTAGGCATCTTCCTTTCCTGGTGGTGGGGGTGGGGTGGATTCTGACAGCCATGCTATAGTACGTTATCCTGGATTCCTGACCCATGCTGGACCAGATTTTTCTGAGTCTTGGGACTGAAATTCAGACACAAGCCAGTGTCTGCCGGTCCCATGAGCTGTGGGCCACCACACTTGGGCACAAACCCTGGGAAGCTGAGACAGAGGGAATAAAGCCAGACCATGATGCCCCTCAGGGAGCCTCAGAGCTCCTGCCCCTGGATCCCTGAGAGTTTTTCTGTTGCTAGTGTGAACCCCCTGCAGCCTGCCTCTCCTGTGTGACTTTGCATTACATGAGATACTCCTGTATTCTTTCCATATGCTCTTCAAATCTTGTCCTTTTTTTTAAGTTAGCTGAAGTTTATTTACAACCAAAATATCCTTGTCTAAGGCACTCAGTATAAATCCATATTTACCCTAAAGAAGCTAAGTGGCTTTCTCAAAGGGGAACATGGAGAATTCACGTGACAATGGGAATTACCAGACTCATATTTGTACAGTATTTCTCACACTAAGAATCTCACAATGACCTTGGGTATTATGTAGCAAAGGTTTCTATGCTAATTGTACAGATGCAAAAGCTGAGGCACAACATAGTTAAGAGATTCTCCCAAAAGGAGGACTGAAATAATGGACTCCTTGATTATGCTCTTGGGTTTTCTACTATACCATGCTAAAAGTAGAAATAAATTAGGAGAAAAGAGCCTGTGCCTGCCATTAGATGGGAAGAAGGCTTCATTCTCTAGCTGTGTCTTTCTGCCTGCTGATCTCTATCTGCCTCCGCAATATGTGATACATGCTCCTTCCCTGCCCAGCATGGCTGTTCTGGCCTCTGGACCCCACCTCCCTCCTGCCTTACCTCCAGGCTTCTGGAAGCAATAGCACCACTCATTGTTAGAGAGCTTGCCATCCTTGAAGGAGTCGCAAGAGTTGAAGAGAGGCTTGATACAGGGCTCGTATTTATCCAGGTAGATGGCATTGATCTCTGAGTGGTCAAGCAGCAGGTCGTAGTTCATGTCCAACTTGTTGAACATCCAGCCCAGGGAGTCCTTGCAGATGGGCAGGATGCTGGTGTCAAACCCTGCCGAGGGAATGGCACAGCTCAGCTACCACCAAGCTGATCTTTCCCGCCCCCACTGCCTCCTCCTGAGGCTATTTCCCTTCAGGAGTACAGTCTCAGCAGCACTTTACCAGAATATATGGTTCTTGTTGTTGGTTTTTAAGTGAAACAATTTAAAATGCACTAAAACAGAAGTCAGCATTTGAGGAAAATATGTTCTAAAGGGAACAAATCCCCAGTGCTAATTTATCTGTGATGTAAATATAGGTTTTCATTTACTAGACTTGCTTAAAACAGGATATGCCTGAAAGGAAGATCGCAAACATGGTGAGTAAGAAGACTAACTGATAATACTGCAAACTATGCTTTTATATTTAGGAAAAAAAATATTTGAAAAACCAAAACAAAACAAACTATTGTCAAAAGGATGGCAGTGAAATGGAACTATGTAGCACAATCCAGAAGCACTGATTATATCCCAAAGGACTGTTAAATCCCAGCAGTCTGAACATTAATGGGAAAACAAGCCAGCTACCTGCCTCCATTCCCCATTCTTCTTTTCTGCAGTCCCCTCAAGAGATACATGATATAGAATCCAAATTGACTCAGACAATAATTTCCTCTTATTTCCCTAGGGGAGGAGGGGTAGGTTTCTTAAAGAATTATTTGTTTCCACAATGGAAATTGTGTGCACTTGAATAATAACACTTTGCTTAACACTCAGGATATTGAGTCTACTGTAGACAAACCTCAGAGAAGGCATGCCCCACATCTAAAACTCGCCTTTCTCTCAGAATCAAAAGTACCATGCAATTTCAAGTTATTCTATAAGGTGGATTTCTAGGACTGGTTTTATTTTCCCGGAAAAATGATGATAAAAGTTCACCTTTGTGTTACTCAAGGCACTCTTTTATATTTAATTATCTCAGTGAACCCTTGTAACAATCCTATGAAATGATGCTATATCCTCTCTACTTTACAGATGGCAAAAATGCTCCAGCCTTAAGTTAGTTGCTCAAAGTCAAAAAATTGTGGAGCTGGGATTCAAACCCAGGCAGCCCAACCCTGAGCCTACATTCTCAATCCCTCCTCTCCCAGGGCTGCCTCTGCCTTGCATGATGCATGATCCTCCTGCCCTGAGGACATCTAGTTGGGTAGGGTGCCATGTTTGGGAATGGGCAGTGCAAGGGGAGGTGATACAGTGACTGCAATTTAGGGTCCTGATGGGGTCGATTGCCCACTCCTGGGGTTCCTACCTACATTCTGATCTTTGGGTTACTATGTGCATCACTGGGAACCCTTGCCTAGTCAGCAGGATATAAGACATAGCAAAGTGTTCCTACCCTTTTTAAAGCAGTGTCTTTACAAAAGGGTCTTCACTGTCCAGAAGCCAGTAAAATAAGTGCAGCAGCTCCTCCTCTGAGCTCTCACAGAACCTGTGCTTCCCCTCGTTGTCAATGCCTGTTAATCAGACTCTAAGCTCCTTAAGGGTAAAGACTGTCTCGTTCCCTTCTGTAGCCTCAGCCAGTATGGGCATCAAGGAAGTACTCAATGAAAGTATTTCTTGAGAGAGGTTTTCTAGCTACTGCAAAGTTTACACCTTCAAACATAAAAAATCTTTCCATTTTTAAATTAATTCCTTTTGAGATCTTAGAACACATCTTAGAAACATCCCTTTTTTCAAGAAGAGAGACTATGGGATATAATGTGCCCTCCTCTTTGACTGAAGGTCAGGACTGAAAAATCTCTATGATGATGATGTCCTCAGGGGCTACTGAGTAAAGGAAGATGATTTACTCTGACACTAAATGGCTCCACGCTTTTGTACAGAATATTTTATGTAATATTAACATATTAATTTTAACATTTTAATACATGGGAAAGAAGAGTTTACTGCAGACTGACCACCAAAAAGAAGTGCCAAGCTGGTTGGGCAGTAATCTAAAGTCTCCCACTCACATCCATTTGGAAGGTTCTAGAAAAGAGGCACCTGTATCTGCTATAGGGGGGAGAGGGAAATAGAGCAGCCCTTCTAGTTGGCCCCAAGCATGTGGGACTTCCAGGCTTTCATGTTTCCCCTTTTGAACTCCTGGACTGACCAAACGTTTCTCCCTCCTGTGGCCTTGTGGGCTAACCAAGCGTCATTCCTTTATATTCCCTTCACTCCAACTGCTTCACGACATCAAATCTAAAAGCCTCTTCGAGGACTCAATTTGCTTCTGGCTGAGGGCAGGTCTTTTGCAGGCTCCCCAGCTGTCTGGAGAAGAAGTCTCCTGGGACTGGAGGCTGCAAGGAGCAGCTTTCCACATATCAATCTGCTCTTTGTTTAAAGGTTGTTCAGAAAGCCCAAGGGCCCAGCTCCTCCTAGAGGATCCTGAGGAAAAGTTTCTCTAGATCATCTGTGAATTAATTGTCCACAAACTCCCAAGGAAGCTTCCAGGAGGAATGGAAAGAAACCATCTTACTTTCTCTTTCCCACAGATACAACCACCAGGAACTACTCTTTGGCTACTTAGTTTCTGGGAAGCAAATGCTATCTTTCCCTTAAGATAAAAGATCCAAACTAGTGAAAGAATTGTCACCTAGATCAGTATTCTCAACTAGTATCTCTCGATAGCTGTGAACAGCAAAAAATAACCAAAAATTAAGGACATCATACTTATTTTGGCTGAAGACCAGACGCTGGTTAAACTCTTGATCCCAATAGTTGCCAATGTAACTTCTTACCTACTTCATTCAAGCCAGGAGCATTACATTAAGAAATCTTGTCCCAACAAGTGTGGGATCAGGGATGGGGTGAAATACTCGGCTTATAAACAACAACAATGTGTTTTTATATTTTGACAAAGCAATATAAAAGTGGCTACATAGAAAAGGCTGTGGCAAAACTCCCTGTATTTGAACAACTGTGTTGTTGAGTAAGCCGTTCTGTGCCAATCGGCCACAGTGTGAAGCCTACCCCTAACGGCCTTTGAGTTAAAGGCAACAAGAGACTTCACCCAAGTACAAGTACGCAGACCCACTCTGAGTTTTCTCTCCAGCTTACAAAGAGGCTCTGAGTATGATCTCTGCCAATTCCATGAGGGTGGAGGGGACACTTGTCTGGGAGTTTCTATGGAAAACAAAATGCAGTCTGACTAATGTTCACAACAATATATTATCAAAGATGTTTGCTACAGTGTTGCTTATAATAGCTGAACATTAGTAACAACTTCAATGCTCCAAAATAAAGGTGTAATTACATAAATTATGTTACATCTATAAATTGGGATTCTATGTAGCTATTACAAAGCAGAATACTACTCAACAACATAGCAAGATGGTCATAATTTATTGCTAAATGGTAAAATAAGGTCATAGAACAGTCTGTAAAATGTGGGTGTATATATATACACATATGCACAGACACATATTTTTTTTTTTTATATATGGCAAGGAAAAAATTTGAATTATACACCATAACATGCTTATAGTTTTTGTTGAAGTGGTGGAATTTTATATATACTTAATGTATTTTTCAAAATGTCTATACTAAACATTTGATAATTTTGCAACCAGACTTTAAAAATATAAGTTGTTGTATTTTGTTGATTCTAAGGCATTTCCCCCTCCTCTATATTTTAATATTTCTGAAATTAGGACATATTTTAAGTGAATGTATACATTTAACATAGTGTTTCTTTGATCACCCCAAAATGCTATTGCTAAATCAACAATGTCTAATAACTGAGGAAATGTGGTACTTGAAATAAATTAGCAAGAGTGAGGTGGTCTTACTGCCTTGGGCTGTGTCGGAGCTGGTGGGTTTGATGACCCTGTTTGCATCCTCATGAAGGGCTCCAAACCAGTCTTTCAGCCGGGAAGCCAGGTTCCTCAACTCCTTGTCTGTGCAGGCTAGAGAGAAGCAAATGGAGGAAACAGTGAGTCCGTGGGCTTTGTCCTCCTGTTAGCTCTTTGCCCTCAACAAATGCCCTCAAAAAGTGCTCAAAACAAACCTCCCTCTTCAACCACGATATAACTCCTTACCCCCACTTTGAAAAAATCCCAAAGATGCTGCTATCACAGATAAAGAGTAGGCAAAGAGAGCCTAGACTCCCAGGGCAAGCAGCATTGTTCAGAACCGAATTTGGACTGCTTCCGAGCTGTTAAAGCAAGCCATAGTGGTCTCACAGCTGCGCACCAGCCCCTAAAGACTGTCATGGATCCCTCTTGCTAACCTGATAAAACTTGCTATTGCAGTTTGCCAGAGAAGATCACATTTTCTACTAAACTCATGCCAAGAGATTAATACTCAGGAATAGCTAATGCTCTTAGGGAGAGGCTGCCTGGGACACCAAAAGATCCACTAATAGCAGACTCTCAATTTTGTTTTAGCCCCGGGTCTGGATTTGTGAATGTGGCTTATTTGCTGGCCTTTGGATAGACTGAGATGGACAGTCTCCGTGGACAGATGGATGCCTTCTCCATGGAAGAGTCTTTGCTATTTGCAGCCCATCTGTAACTATCTAGCTCATCTTTTAGGGTATGACAGAGCAATAGGGACCAAGGAATACTCTTTCTGAGAACAAGAGAGACATCCAGCTGGATGGCTGGGGAGGTGGGTGCAGGCTATCTGAAGGTCTCATGGAGTGCTGAGGTAAGAATCGAGGGAAGAAACCCCCAAACGGGGTCAGTGGTAGAGAGAAGGGAGCTGACTTTCCCTAGCTGCCTGGTTTTACCTTAACTCTGTGTACGGGGAATCCTGACACAGGGCCGAGGCAGTGGGCCACTACCAAGAGGCAGAAAAAGCAGCAATGCATTCAGTGGCCTCTCGCAGCTGGAGAGACAGAAATTGGAGACCTGAGGGGCCAAAATCCCAATAAGAAGGGACAAAGAAGTGAGCCCCACAACTTGCACTTTTTCCAAATTTGAAAGCTACAGGAGGCAGGCTGCGAAGAAGCCAAGCAACACACCGTTATGGTGCACAGCCAAGTGCTGACTGTCTCGTGGCGCTGACGAGACATAGATTAAAGCCGGAATGTACCAGTGCTGAGAGACCCCAGTGAACACCCCAGGCTCTCCATTGGAAGGCACGAGGGCACTGATGGATGAGTAGAGAGTCTCGCCAAAACTCCACTCCAGCCTCAATCAGTACAGGTGCTCACTGAATTGAGGTGATCAGCCCTCATCTCCCTCACCAAGGACAGGGTGAAGCCTCTCCAGAAGAAAATAATATCATCCAGATCCTCTCCTCATTTTTACAATCCATGTGTGCTTTCAGAAAAGCCCATCTTTCCTTAGCCTGGGGCTTGGGGGCTTGATGGAGAACAGAACCCAACTTCCCAGACCTCAGGCAGGAAGGTCTCTCCTACCCTCCATTTGAGGGGAGGTGAGCAGACCCTGGCTGGGTCTATGCAGTCTCAGCCTCAGCAGTCGCATTTATAACTGCTGCCTTCATTCCAGCCAGAATCCAGATCTAAACTCTGCAAAGCATGGAGTGTGTGGTTATTGTTTATACCCAAGTTGCTAATGACGTCAAGACACTGCCTTGCTTTCAGCCAGGACACAACTATATACACCAGCCAGGAAACGGTGCTGATAACCATCTTGACAGGCAGCAGAGTATGACAGCTCTGGGGTCACACTGCCTGGGATGAAGCCCAGCTTTACCACTTACTGGCTGGGTGCCTCAGACAAGTCACTTAACCTCTCAGCTCCTCCATTTCCTCATCTGTAAACTCAGGATATCATTATGTGACTATAAATTAGACAAGGTGTGTAAAGTGCTTGGCAAAGCACATGGTATAAAGTAATTACTCAGCAGGTGCCAGCTATGATTTTATTACCACTATTACTATTATTTTTAAGTTGAAGATTGATAGATAAGCTTGGAGCAAACATCACAGCATTCAGAAAACCAGTAAGACAAATGCACCTAAACAAAACTGGCTTTGGCCACATAGGAAACAGGTGAAAATGGATACTTGTGCTGTCCAGTACAGTTGCCATTAGTCAGAGATGGCTATTTACATTTCAATTAATTAAAATTAAATAAAAGTGAAAGTTTAGTTCCTCAGTTGCACCCACCCCATTCCAAGTGCTCAACAGTCATACGTGGCTAGTTACCTCAAATGGGAGAGCACAGAGACAGAGTATTTCCCTCACAGCTGGAAGCTCGACTGGCTAGCACTGGATGAAGTTAGCTATCCCTTAGGGATTTCCAACTTTTTGGAGGTTCATCATGAGATCCTGACACCCAAGGTTGTGCCTCCATTCCTTCCTTTCAGTCTTTAAAGATGGGCTGAGGGGGCCGGCTCCGTGGCTTAGCGGTTAAGTGCGCGCGCTCTGATGCTGGCGGCCCGGGTTCGGATCCCGGGCGCGCCCCGAGGCACCACTTCTCCGTCCAACGCGAGGCCGAGTCCCACGTACAGCAACTAGGAGGATGTGAACCTATGACATGCAACTATCTACTGGGGCTTTGGGGGGAAAAAAAATGAATAAATAAAATCTTTAAAAAAAAAAAAAAAAAAAAAAAAAGATGGGCTGAGGAAGAAGATCACAAACCTGCTCCAGCCAGGAACCAGCATCTCATGCTAAGCCACGTGCACAAATAGCAGGGGAAGGAGTTGTTGCTGACGGCTGCCACTCATGGCTTTGCCCAGGGACCAAGACGGGGCCTCAGGAGCAGGCCCACGGTACCACACTCATTGGCCCCAACTCAGAGCCTCTGGAGGATAGAGCGCTCACTTTTCTGACTTTTCAGATACTGCACAGCTCTAAACAGGAGAGGATGTGCTCTGTTTTTCTGAGGGGAAAGGGATGTGGGTTCTATAGTCAATCTCACATTTGAAAATGGAAAATTAATAGCATCTATTTCTTCTCGATTGCCACACACACCATCTATTCTAAATGCTCTCTGAGCAGAGAAAATTGCCAAGTCAACTTGCAAAGGAAATGAATCCCCATCTCACAGTGCAGGATAAATTAGTCAGTCATGTTTAACTAAACCCTGACAGCTGTGCAGGTGATCTGTATCTTGAGAAGACGGCTGAATTTCCCACAGGCTTCCCAAAGTACATAGCCTTTGGATGGCTGATGGAATTGGGTGCTGGAATCTTGAGAGAGTGAATCTGTCACTCAGGGAGAATCCACAAGCAGGATGCCACTGGCTTGGGTGGAGAGAGATCAGAAAGCCAAAATGGAGAGGCATGCGATTCCTGGGCCCTGGTCCCTCATGGTGTCCTCAACCGAATGGTCCTTATGAGGAGAAAGTCAGGCACGAGCTGCCTGGAGCTAGATACGTCCCAGAGAAAAAAATAATCAAAGCCGACAGCCTGCAGAGAGCTATTTGTTCAGATTTGATATTCTAGCCAGTAACAGGCTGCCAATGGGAGAAAAATGCTTGCCTTTTAAGGTGCCTAACATAGCTGCCAGCATAGGTATGAACCGAAGGTTAGCGCTTTCAGAGATAGGGGACGCAAAGGGTACACACTCAGTTTCTTCCTGGGGAAAAGTAATTTCTGTGTGGAGGAAACCGTAAAACCATATCCACCTGCCATTTTCACACTCTGCCCTGAGGTGGGCCCATCCTCATGATTTCTAGAGAGGGGTGTCTCTCCACTTCTCCTGGTGAGAGAACCAGGTTATTCAGGCCACCAGCATCAGACTCTTCAGAGGAAAAGGCTACTATCTTGGGAGAGGATTTGGTTCATTCATGACGGCTCGGACCTGATCCCCTTGGCCACTACATTCCCTTCCTGAGTGGATGAGTGCCAGCCAGTCCTCTTTGTTCTCCCACTTTCCATTCGATTCCCTCCTGCCCTCCACCTGGCTTCAGCTCACTTTTAATTGCTCTCATCCTCCCAACTGTCTCTGCCCAGCATCCTAGTCCTTGGTGTTTCCATATTTGCCTTCTTATTTTTACAGGTCACTCTGCATCTTTCTTACATGACCTCAGTCTGCTCCAGCATGGCTGGTATGTTGGCAGCATCTCTGAGATCCACTGACCCCCAATCTGTGCCTCCTCCTGTGGTCAGAAAATGGTACTAGCAGACACTCATATTCTCAGGACGAACACCTGGGAATTGTCCTGGATTTCTACAAAATGTTCCCTGCTTCTTGCTACCTCTGCTGCCGTTATTCCCGGCCATGTTACCACCATTACCTCCCACCATAACAGGTTCCTAAATGGTCTCCCATCTTGCTCCCCACGTTCCCTTCTCCATCCAGCAGCCAAAGCGATCTTTCTAAAATGGACATTTGATCAAGTCACTTTCCTGCTTAGCTACTTCAGAGGCTCCCAATCACTCTGCAGGCAAGTCCGGACTCCATAAGGTAACTTGTGAGATCTGATGGTGGTGGCCCATGCCACCTCTGGTCTCTATTCTCTCCTCCTTGGCCTCCATGCTCTGCCCTTACTGTCCTTCCCGCACACTGGTCCTCCTGGGGCACACCTCTTCTGTCTTCCAAATACCAATTTTGCCATCAGCTCTCTGCTTTAAAGGTATTCCCTCTTACAGGACTTCCCTAACGCTCAAACTAGGGGAGTTTCCCTTCTTACATGCTTCCAATGTCTTGCTCCTCGAATGGCATTCATCACACCTGTAACTTCTCACTCAATGTCCATCTCCCCCTCTAGATCACAGCACCATGAAAGGTGCCCCGAGTCTGACTCAGGATCTTATGCAGTCGGTTCCTGGCATGAAAAATGCTCTCAATGTATACTTATTAACTAAAAATAATACCCCTCTTGTTGCCTTTTGTAAAATTCAATTTGTCTATCTGCAACATGGCATAATAAAGCTTAGCTCATAGCATCATTGTATGGAATAAGATAATATCAGTAAAACATAGCTCACAGCTACTGGCATATAGCAGGAACTCAGTAAATTTATGTTCCCCTTCCCATATCCCAA